TGTTCTATATAATTTTCTGTATACTTTTCTATATAATGTTCTATATAATTTTCTGCATACTTTTCTATATAATGTTCTATATAATTTTCTGTATATTTTTCTATATAATGTTCTATATAATTTTCTGTATACTTTTCTATATAATGTTCTATATAATTTTCTGCATACTTTTCTATATAATGTTCTATATAATTTTCTGTATATTTTTCTATATAATGTTCTATATAATTTTCTGTATACTTTTCTATATAATGTTCTATATAATTTTCTGCATACTTTTCTATATAATGTTCTATATAATTTTCTGTATATTTTTCTATATAATGTTCTATATAATTTTCTGTATACTTTTCTATATAATGTTCNCATACGATGTTGTACAGAATGTTCCGTATAATTTTATAGAATTTTCTTAAAATGTATTAAAAAGTGCGACAGTAATAGCGACGTACAGTTATTTTAATTGGAATATCTCCTGAACTATTAATTTTTCGACAGTAGTAGCTTAATACATTTTTATGACTAACGTCGACCTGCATCCATTGGCGTATTAAAATTTACGTCGTTCCATCGAGCAGCGATCACCGAGCAGCACTAAATCCGAAACGAGAGAATTGCCAACATAGGCGAGTAATCATCGGAAAGTTAATCCTCAGGAACCTGTGTGCTACCTTGCGAGTAAACAACACTCAGGGCTGCAGAAATTCACAAATTCGCGTAGGTGTGGCTCACGAAAGTTCCACGCAACCGTGCCAAATTTTCCGAGCGCTTGACCACGTCCGACGGCCGCGAGGAATTCCATTCGAACGTATTTAACGTCCTCGCGCGAGCCGCGTCCATTAAGAGTGCGACATACACGTTAATAGGTTTACAGAAACGTTTTCGCGCGTCCCTGCCTTCTGCTTGAAACAGTCGAACGACGCACAATTTCCTCATACCGATATTCATCAGCTTCGCGTTGCCCTCTAAATATTCATTACTTATAAATCTCGTGAAATTATTAGTTAAATAATTTTTATGTTCGAATAAAATTCTGTCCTCTCGTAATCGATATTTAGGTATTCTGTAATACTTAAATATTGTGTATGAATATAATATGTTAAGTATAATAATAATGCTATAATAATTAATGATAAATTACTAAGTATTATTATTATTATTATTATTATATAAATAATATAAAATATATAATATAATAAAATAATAAATAATAATAATAATAAAATATATAATAATATATAATATATAACCGAAAGTGGCGGGTTCCTCGGGTCATTTGAAGCAACTTTTTCCTTTACAAAAGTTTTCTCCGAGGCACCATCAACGAGTTATTAACGAAAAACAGTGACCAATGAGAGGCGAGCTCAGCTGGCGCGTGGCGACCGAGCCAATGAGCGGAACTGGGCTTCGTGCGCTGGTTGGCTGGACCGCCTCGCGTCAACCGTACTCGATTCTTATTGGTTACCGTTTTTCATTAATAACTCGTTAACGGTGCCTCGGAGAAAATTTTTGTAAAGGAAGAAACTACTTCAAATGATCTGAGGAACCCGCCATTTCCGGATTACGAGACATTTTTGGTACACCCTGCACATATATATAATAATATAATATAATATAATTTATACTATAATATATATTATAAATAATATAATATAAAATCGGGCACATAATATGAATTTTCTTTCTCTTTTGAGACATTGTTATTCTATTCATTGTGATTGTAAAGAAAATGGTACGGCAAGGGATTGAGATCGCGGTTGAGTATACGAGTAGTTCGACGTAGACCTTCGACCTTGAATCCCTTTCCGTACACGTGATCATATGCCCTGAGTATGATGCATGCGAATGAGCTCTTTTATGTATAGCGTGCTTTAATATACAGCTTATCTCGCATCGGCAACGAGCGTGTGCATTATCGTCATCAGAAACTGATTTCGCACGTATACATACATATATATGCGAGTGCACTGGGTGGGCCATGTAAACGCTTTTTGAATCTCTTCGATCGCGTCAATCACATTCACGCGATGCATACTATTAAAGTATACAATTATACATTAACAAGTGACAATTTACTGTGTTCTGCAACTTTTTCACGTACGCTTAAGCACCAAACAATTTATTGCATACCTTCTGCATATTACATGTTGTTCCATTACCTAATTGTATAAATTTTGAAGTAAACAACCCGCTAAGTTATATAATTCCATAATGCACGCTCAAGTACCAGACTATTTATTTTACACCTTCTGCATACTATAGTCTTGCTCAGTAACCTAATTACATAAATTACGGTGTAAACAAACAACCCACCAATACCTATAATTTCGTAGCACACCTCTAGATACCTGCATAATTGTACAATTTAGTAATTCTATAAATTATAGAGTATATAATTTATGATTTATATAATTTGTATAATTTCTTAATATATACTTAAGTACCTGAGATATTTATTTCGTACCTCGTGTATACTATATTACACATAAGAACACAATTGTAAGTTGCAAACGAAATTGTATTTATTTGGACCATAAATCTATTGCGAAACAAACACTATAATAGCTAACCTGCGCGATCACAAAGAGACAGATTAAGAACTGGCTTGTCATCGAATAAGTAGAATAATTTTTGATATATAGAGTGAATACAAATTTCTGAAAAGTTAAATTATACGCCACAGATTTCCACGTGATCCAATTTATTAGAACTACCCTGTATATTCAGGAGACAGGTGCATCGTTGAAGATACGTTTCTCGCGTTTCTTTTCTGCTCGTTTGTGTAATAATAAATAACCGAAGCTCTGTAGTGCAGTCTCTCGAATAACGACTGTTGCTTGTTCGCGTGAAAACGAGACGGTTGAAAGTAGAATTCGATATTGTTTGAGTAAATGTTGGTGCTCGGAATAAAATACAATTCTGTCGTCTTTATGAATCTGAATAACGAGTCACAGATGCGTCGTCGGAATAAAAAGTCGCTGCCTTTTGTAGCCCGTATAAAAGTTTACCATTAAAACCTAACAATGTATCGTTCGCCGATCGAAGGATTACATTTTCCGTAAAAATCCTTCGTTACATTTCAGTCGACGGAATTATTTCCAGACGATCGTTTCAATGAACTTGACCAACGAACGTGCTTTTCATCCGTTCCCGGCGCTGCTAAATTCTTAAAACGTATTCAGCTTTTACGATTCCCGTCGTCACGAGAGTAGTAGAACTGAAATCGGTCTTAAAAAAGAATTAAATGCGAAAGAACTACATGTCGTTTGGGATTCTCTCTCTCTCTCTCTCTCTCTCTCCCTTTCTCTCCCTTTTCCTTTATCTCTCAATCTTCCTTTATTTCCCTCTTTTTTCCAACCGTCGCTCTTTCTTTATTTCTCTTTCTTATTCTCTCTCTCTCTCTCTATTTTATTTCTCTTGTTCATTTCACTCTTTTTTTATTTCTCTTTTTTCATTTCTCGTATCTTTCTTCTCTCTCTCTCCTTTTTATTTCCCTTTCTTATTTTATTTCTCTCTATCTCTCTCTCTCGCTCTCTCTTTCTCTCTCTCTCTCCTGTCACCCGTTCTTTCTTTATCTCCTCGGAATCTCGCCACTGAAATTAGAGAAAAAGTCAGGGAATCGACGGTTGTTTCTTCGGCGAGGGGGCACACCGCGAAATTAATTTCTCGGCACGGGGGAAACTGGTGCGTCCGACGTCTAGAAACAGACATTAACCGATACCTAGGAGGCGTAATTTATTTCCGGTGGTTCGGCGTGATCAACGCGCTGCGATCTATCGAGGGATCAAGATCAGACGCGTGTAATTAACAATAACCGCGGCCGCGGAAGGCCGGCGAACATATTGCCGCAGCATAGCGTAAACGGAAATCGATAACACGACCCTGGGGTTCAGCATAATTAAAATGTGCTGTTTTATGGAATGCAGAATTTATAATGTGTCGATCTTATTTTTATTCCACTGCTCTTCATTCTCCGGTTTTCGTCCCGAACGTAACAGCAACACAATTTTCGCGAGCGAAAAATATTTCGATGTGTTCGTTGAATCGATTTTATTACGGAAACATTGCCAGTGAGGCCATTTCAATATTTCAACAATTAATTGTTTGTTTCATTGATTTTGTTCTCGCAGTGAGCGTTCATGTCGAATATTTTCTCATTTGTTTCTTCGATCGACTTTGTCGTCGAGATAGAAAATACGTGAAAACGAAGATATTGCTTCGGACGATAATTAAAGAACGACGAAGAATTTGATGAATTTCTTACGACACGAAGTCTAACTAGAAAAGATTCGTCCTCGAGAAACCGTACAAAATAATCATTAATGAACGACGAAAAATTTATTGACCTCGTCAGGCCACGATTAAAAATTACTTCTATGTCCGTCCATTAAAAACGGTTTAAAATGACCACTGAAGAACGATTAAAAAATCTGATGTATTTCTTGGGAAAGAGCACAATGAGAAATTCCTCGGTCCTTGTCCCTGCCACGATTGCAATCCCCGGAAAATGTCCTCTCTCGGGGTCACGTTTAATCGCGTATTTTTCCATTAACGCTAGATTTACGGAGCATAAAAAACAGCTATTTTATATTAGTTTATAAAAGTAACAATAAGACGTTTATTCTGATTTTTAACAAGTGTTATTATAACATTTGCCGTAAGTAACTTTGCCGTATATTTATACGGCTATTTATACGGCAATAAAAAATGAATAAATAACTCGCAAATCTCTATCTTTACGATATGAATAATCGTAAATTAAGAAATTAGTGACCAGTCATTTTGACAGGTTCCATAAATCTAGCGTTAAAGATCAACGTTTCGACCATCCGGGTTCTCATTGTGTTCTCTGAGGCACGAGCTTATCTTCTCGAGTTGATCTTCACGAGCTTAAAACAGCCACGTGACAAATCGATAAAAAGCAGAAAGAAAGAGAGAGAGAGAAGGGCAGCGAGGGACCAGGACCAATAGTAATTCCGGTGCTACATTTCTGGTTACAGGCCTTCGAGGAGCTGGAGGAGTTGCTTGGAAAGAACGAAATATGTATCGCTGTCAAGGAGAAGTTAGTGAAAGATTCCGGAGTCGCGGAAGAGACGGCTTACGACAATATCGTCGATAGACTGAAGACTAAACCGAGGGCGAGGGGTAAGTAAAGAGAAGACACTATCGTATAGATAATGAAATTTGCATACAAAGTGTCCTAAAATTATGGTATTTCCGGGAAATGAGATGTTCCTGAGGTTATTTGAAGTAACTTTTTCCTTAGCGAAAATGCAATCCGCGACTTCGTTTACGAGTTATTAACGAAAAACAGTGACCAATGAGAGGCGAGATTAGCTGGCGCGAGGTGGCCGAGCCAACGAGCGGACGAAGCCCAGTTCCGTTCATTGGCTCGGTCGCCTCGCGCCAGCTGATCACTGTTTTTCGTTAATAACTCGTAAACAAAGCTGCGGATTGCATCTGAGCTAAGGAAAAAGTTACTTCAAATGATCTCAGGAATCCCCATTTCCGGCGAGATATTTTTGAGACATCCTGTATATGAAACGCGGACATGAACCGTTCCATAAATCGGGACAAATGAAACAATTGAAGTGCACGATGTGGAACAGTATGTTCTTGCTTAGAAACAATCGTATTCGAGTAATTTTAGGACACCCTGTATAATTGCATATAAAATATGAAATTCTCGATAGCCGAAGAAACATAGATCAGCATAGATCTCTCTCTTTGCTATCGAGAAATCAAACACTGGTGTCAACAATCCTCGACGTCAATGAAACAAATTTAATAATCGTGGAAATAATGAGACTACAACGAGCGAGAAAATGATAAGTGATACGTGAAATATGCTTGCATCAGCAACGATGGAAAAGATTTTTATTTTATTCATATAGTAATAGGGATAATTAGTCTAATAACTAAGCTGTGGATTCGTATTTATTTATAGCAATCAAGATAGTTGTGAAATGTAAGATACTTTCTTTTTTATGTTTATAAAATTTGTGTCAAGTTTGATACATAAGAAGTATAATCATCATCGAATAAGTATAATAAGAACGTTTGTGGTCGGACAAAAAATACGTGGACAATCGATATTTAAAAGAATCAAATGCACGTTATTCAATGGTCGAAACAAAAGAGTAGGGCCTAGCTAATGATCAGACAAGTAGATTGAGATCTGGTTTGTGGTCAGACAAGCGAATACGAGCTGGTGTACGACCAGACAAATAGAACAGAACCTAGATAATGATCAGACAAATAGGATCAGCCTATCTTGTGGTCAGATCAGTAGAATAAGATCTGGCATATAGATAAGATCAGACAAATAGAATGAGCAAATATTATGATCGGATAAATGGAATGAACAAGTACTATGATCAGACAAATAGAGTGAACAAATGCTATGATCAGATAAATAACAATTAACAAATACTATGATCAAATAAATAACAATTAATAAGTACTGTGATCAGATAAATAACAATTAATAAATGCTATGATCAGATAAGTAACAATCAACAAATAGTATGATCAGATAAATAACGATTAACAAATACTATGATCAGTTAAATAACAATTAATAAGTACTGTGATCAGAGAAATAACGATTAATAAATGCTATGATCAGATAAGTAACAATCAACAAATAGTATGATCAGATAAATAACAATTAACAAATACTATGATCAGATAAATAACAATTAATAAGTACTGTGATCAGATAAATAACAATTAATAAATGNAAGTATTATGATCAGATAAATAATTAACAAGTATTATGATCAGATAAATAACGATTAGCAAATGCTATGATCAAATTAATAACAATTAATAAGTACTGTGATCAGATAAATAACAATTAACAAATTCTATGATCAGATAAGTAACAACCAACAAATAGTATGATCAGATGAATAACAATTGACAAGTACTATGATCAGATGAATAACAATTAACAAGCACTATGATCAGATAAATAATTAACAAGTATTATGATCGTATAAATAACGATTAACAAATACTATGATCAGACAAATAACGATTAACAAATACTATGATCAGATAAATAGCAATTAACAATGTCTGCAAATTAAAAAGAAAACAGTGACAAAAAAGACAAAATTATCCGAGGATTTGTCAAGTATTCGAAGCTTGGGATACGAAATGATTAGATAGACCGTTGAGAAATATCGAAAATCGCGTATTTTCCGCTCCGCGCTACGTGATTTCCTCTCGAACATAGTGCTCGACCATCCGGATCTGAATATCAGAAAATTCCTAGATCGATCACGATTTCTCGGAACGATCGGAAGTAGGACACCTAAAACGGTACAATTCGTCCGACGGCGGTTACGTCCGCGCGGATCGGAAACTTGAGACAAGTCGATGAAATTTCCGAGTTTCAGGTTTTATCTGACAAACTGTCGGCTCGAGCGAGTTCGACTGGCTCCGACAATGCGGCGAGTGCGGCGGCAAATATACTGACTGCAGCCGAAATCGTGCTGCTGCAGCCGAAATTTTCGCTCCCCAGACAGTCGAGTACAAACAACGCGCGAGACTAGTACAAATAATTCATTCGAACAATAAACCCGAATTTACATTGAACGCCGAAGAAGACGAAAAATGATTTGTCGAACGTGTCCGTTCGTCGCTCGCAGTTTCCGCTTGCTGCAGAACTTGTCGCATTAACCCTTTCGCTCCGAACGACGGATATATCCGTCATCCATATGAACACTCGCGGAGCCGAACGCCGGATATATCCGACATGCTGGTATTGCGTGAATCTTTTGACGAAACAAACAAACGACAGTCCGAAATAAACGACACACCATTCAAGTTATATTTGTTCTACCTGCATTTCCCATTATTATTGTGTTACATGTCATAAAGGGATAGAAAATCGAAAGTACTAACTTTAGGACTAATTATTATGTATTATGTTTTGTATTATGAATATTATGTTTTATTTTATTACTGTATATTATATATTATTTCTTCACTTTTTCCATTGTTAATGAAACTTTTTTTACCTATTAAATAACTTTATACCTTATGCAGAAATTATAACTATATTGTTTTAAAGAAAAATCCCTTTTCTTCCCAAATACACTATCCACGCGCAATGTGCACAATTTCGGCGGGTGGTTCCGTTCAGGAG